CAGGCATGACAAAAATAGGTTTACAGTTGGGAGTACGAGAAGCAGCTTGTGACATTTTTTGAGTTAATAAAGCTGTTGTAATTATAACCTGTATGCCTTTTTCCAGATGAACAACTGTAAACCCACTTTCGCTCACCCAGGTATATAGAGAACCCTAAAGACTCCTCCATAAAATTATTAGAATAAATGAATTCAGTAAGGTAGCATAATACGCAGTGAATTCTTAGAAATTGGTTGCATTTTATAAACCAATAACTTACTATCAGAAACAAAAATTAAGAAAACAATCCATCTACAATTGCATCTGGAATAAATTTAATCAAGAAGGTGAAAGACTCTTACTGAGAAAACTATAACACACCGAAGAAATTGAAGAAGATACAAATAAAGCAACAATGTGGTCATGGATAGGAAAAATTAACTTGATTAAAATGTCTATACTACCCAAAACAACCCTCAGAGCCATATAAAAAATAAACTTAAGCCAGTTTAAAAATTTGGATACAAAACCTGAAAACAAAACACCTAGAGGAAAACTTAGGCAATATCCTATTTGAGTATTTATCTATAATAATAAAAGGATAATATGCAAATTAGACCGGACATCCTTCTGGATGCCATTCCGGATGTCCTTCTTGACAAAGCCGGGCTGGAGGGAAGCCAGCCAAGGTCCTGGGTGCCTGAGGGTGGCCGGAGAGAAGCAGCCCGGGTCCCAGGTGCCTGCAGCCGGATGAGAAAAGCCTGGGTCCTGGGTGCTGGAGGGAAGCCAGTGCCAGCAGCCAGGGGAAGGAAGCCTACTCTTGCATGAATTTTCGTGCATTGGGCCTCTAGAAATGTGTATAAGTGTCTTATCAGTATGTTATTACAATTGAAACTAGTATAATATTGTATATTAACTGTACATGAAAACTCAGTTTTTAAAAATTTATACTACATTGCCTTAGTAGAATGAAAGAGAAAAATCACATAAGAATAGATGCAAATAAAGCATTTGACATACTACAACATTCTTTCATGTTAAAAATTCTTAACAGATTGGGAATAGAATGAGCACACTTCAATATAATAAATATGATACATGACAAAATCACAGCTAACATACTCAATGGTAGAAAATTGAAAGCTTTTTAAATAAAAAATGATGAATATGACTAGGGTGCCTCTCACCACTCTTATTCAACATAGTACTGGAAGTTTTAGTTAGAGCAATTAGGCAAGACAAAGAAATAAAAGCCATCCAAACTGGAAATGAAGTAAAATTGTTATTATTGCAGATAATATGATTTTATATATGAAAAATTCCTAAAGACTAACCAAAAAAACCATTGGAACCAATGAATGAATTCAATAAAGTTGCAGGATGTAAAATCAGTTGTGTTTTCATACATTAACAATTAAACATCTGAAAAATAAAGACAGAAAACTGTTTCATTCACAACAGCATCAAAAACAATACTTAGGAATAAATTTAAACAGGGAAGTAAAAGATCTATGCAATGAAAACTACAAGGCTTTGATGAAAGAAATTGAAAAAGACACAAACAAATGGAAGATATCTCAGGCTTGTGGATTAGAAGAATTAGTACTGTTAAAATGTCCAGACCGCTCAAAACCATCTATAGATTCAACACAATCCTTATCCTAATTCCAATGACATTTTTTCACAGAAATAATAAAATACAACCTTAAAATTTGTGTGGCCCCATAAAAAACCCCAAATGGTCAAACAATCCTGAGAAGGAAGAACAAAGCCAGAGGCATTACAATTCCTGCTTTCAAACTATACCACAAAAGTATAGTAATTAAAACAGTATGGTACTGGTATAAAAATAGACACCTAGACCAATGAAACAGGATGGAGAGCCAAGAATTAAACTTCTGCTTATGTGGTCAACTAATATTAGACACTAGAGCAGCGGTTCTCAACCTGTGTGTTGTGACCCCTTTGACGGTCAAATGACCCTTTCACAGGGGTTGCCTAAGACCATTCTGCATATCAGATATTTACATTACGATTCATAACAGTAGCAACATTACAGTTATGAAGTAGCAATGAAAATAATTATATGGTTGGGTCACAACATGAGGAACTGTATTTAAAGGGCCAGAAGGTTGAGAACCACTGCACTAGAGGCCCAGTGCATGAAATTTGTACACTCAGGGTGGGGGGAGGGGTCTCTCTACCCAGCCTGCACTCTCTCGCAGTCCGGAAGCTCTTGGGGGATGTCTGAATAATGGCCTAAACCAGCAGTTGGACATCCTTAGTGGTGCCACAGAGGTGGGAGAGGCTCCCACCACCACCACCTCTGTGCTCGCCAGATGTGAGCCCAGCTCCTGGCTGAGTGGCCGCACTGCCCGTGGGAGTGCACAGACCACCAAAGGGCAGCTCCTGCACTGATCATCTGCCCCCCCTGGTGGTCAGTGCATGTCATAGCAACCAGTCATTTCGGTGTTTGGTTTATTTGCACATTAGCCTTTTATTACATAGGATAGGAGTCAAAAACACTCCATGGAGAAAGGATTGTCTCTTCAATAAATGGTGTTGGAAAACTGAATAACTACATGCAGAAAGATGAATCGGGGCCCTATCTTATACCACTCACAAAAATGAACTCTAAAAGGTATAAAGTTTTTAACATAAGACCTAATACTGTAAAACTTATAGAA